TTACGTGTTATTTTACTTTCTTCAAACTTTCAAGCACGTTTTCCAAATAAAATTTTACTTTTTTTTGCAAGATTTCTCTAAAATAAAGCAAAAAACATGTTTTCATTGCGTAATTGTAAAAGTAACAACTTTCAATTATTGATCTAGGAAATTGGGTCAAAAGTCACTATTTTTGCATTTTGCACGTTTCTAGTCCAAAACTCAATTATTTCCTTAAATTTCCTCAAAAATAAGTCAAAAAATGAGTAGCTAAAAGACATTTTGCTTAAAAAATCGCTAAATTGAGTCGTAAATGACATTAGTTTTACCATTTCCGAGTGTTTTTGAACATTTTTCAGCTGGAAATGCAGTTATTTCGCAAACTTTTGTCAAAAATAAGGTAGAAATTTACCAAAAACAAAGCATTTTATGGCTTTTTTGACATTTTTTCAAATTTTTTCTAAAAATTTTGCTAAAATCGTCTAGGAAATTACCATATTTAGTTCATTTTTGAACCAAAGACACATTTATCATCACCAAAGACTCATATATTATCAAAAAAAGCCTAAAAACCACAAAAACAAAATCGAAATTAGTCGAAAATAGTGTTATTTTAACTTTTTTCAAACTTTCAAGCATGTTTTTCAAATAAAATTTTACTTTTTTTTGCATGATTTCTCTAAAATAAAGCAAAAACATGTTTTCATTGCGTAATTGTAAAAGTAACAAATTTCAATTATTGATCTAGGAAATTAGGTCAAAAGTCACTATTTTTGAATTTTGCACGTTGTTCAGTGAAAAACTCAATTATTTCGTTAAATTTCCTTAAAAATAAGTCGAAAAATCAGTAGCTAAAAGAAATTTTGTTTAAAAAATCGCTGAATTGAGTCGAAAATGACATTATTTTTACCATTTCCAAGTGCTTTTGTACATTTTTTTTCTGGAAATGCAGTTATTTCGTAAACTTTTGTTAAAATAAGACACAAAAAATTAGCTTTTTTGACACTTTTTTAAATTTTTTCTAAAAACTTTGATAAAATCTCTGAAAAATTACCAAATTTAGTTCGTTTTTGAACCAAAGACTCACTTATTGTGGCATATATTATCAAAAAATGCTTCAGAATCACAAAAACAAATCGAAATTAGTCGAAAATAGTGTGTTCTTACTTCTTTCAAACTTTCAAGCATTTTTTCAAATAAAATTGCAGATTTCGCTGGCTAAAAAATAACCAAATTTGATCGGAAGTGATATTATTTCACTTGTTTTAACCGATTTAACTAGTTTTTGAGCAAAAATGGAACTTCAAATAATAGAGCATGTCAGTGTTTAGTCATAGTGGACACTCTTTTTAGCTCAAATTTCTTCAACGGTCCAATGTCTGCTAGTTAGATGCTTCAGC